AAATCAGCATATTAGAATGATTTCTGAAAGATCATGTGACACTGTTATTTTAAAGCTATTTAAAATAATACTTCACAGTGTTACAGTTTTACTGTATTTTTGATCAAATAAATGCAGCCTTGGTGAGCACAAGAGAATTCTTTCAAAAAATTCAAATTTTACTTATTGTTTTTAATGGTAGTGAATGTGTGGGATTTAAATAGGCCTTCACATTTTGTTCGTCGGGGTTTTTTTTTTTTTTTGTTATATATGATCCGTATATAATTGACAGTGACTTTCTGCAATGTAAAAAATGTCAGTTTAGCAATTAAAGGAGATTGTACTAAACCATACAAATACCTTCATATATTCACAGATATTTAGGAAATATGCTAAGTTCACATACTTGTTTCTCTGAAGAACAATGTTCCAGTTCTACTTTGAAATGTTAATTCAGTGTCGGAATGCCTGTTTTTGTTTCGGTCTGTGTGACACCACCCACTGCCAGTTTACCCAATAGTATTTCAGCACCCCGGGTTGCCAGTTGGTGGAAAACACAGCCATGGAAGCCAGCAAATGAACTGGGTCAGCGATTGCAGATTCAGCCCAGCCTAAAAAGCCTCTGCATCCATCTAAAAACTCTGACCAGAGGAATATTAAAACACTGACAAATCAACTCATCAGCTTACAGCATACAGCTCTTCGTCTGCCATTGTCAGTTGCAACAAATATCAATTTATAAGATGCGTCTTTGAAATGTTAAAGAGTTGCGCATGTCGATTGAGTTTGTTAGCTAGCTTTGGAATGATTGATCCTGTGTCTGCAATGCAACAAATAAAGCGTTCGTTTCTTTTCTTTCAGAAAAAAAATAGAGCACAAGAAGGTGAGAAGCACATAAAGGACATCAAACTTCAAGATGGAAGTGGTAAGTGGTTTCTCTCGATCATGTCATGTGAACGTGTGCAAATGTTCTTCAGATAAACAAAAACGGAAAATGCATTGTGACAGATATTCTGGTTATGGACTATTTCAGAATGTCAACAAAAGCTTTTTGCACTTGTAGATCCTGATGTGTGTGCTACGGTTATTATCTATTAATGTGTGCTTTTCATGCGTGGCTTTTCAATGTCCCACGATTCCATTGTGAAGTGTGTTGTTCTTGGCAGAGCGCAGGGTTTGGTAGCGCTGATGTTGGGCTACAGGGACCTGTTAATACTCTTGTGTTGCTGGCCGTAGGCGATTCTGGCTTAAGCTCATGGAGATATTGTTTCAGATGTACCATAGAGTAAACAATGTAGTGTTCAATTGCTCTCCCCCAGGTACATGCTCATCTGAGGAGAATCACTTGGAGGCTTATGAGTGTCAGCTAAAGAGACTACATGCAGTTTTGACGGCTTCAGGAGACCAGGAGAGAGACCAGCTCCTCAAGGACCATCCTGGAGACATCTGCACTTTAGTCCACAGCATTATAGAGAAGGTAGAGTTTGAAAGATCTTCATATTCAAAGCCCTTTCTTTTAGTCCTGACTGGAATACATGTAGCTTCATGTAGGCATTCAAGAGCGACTAGTATTCTGATCCCAGATTATGTCAGCGGGTTCTACATTATGAAGCTGTCAGCGGCAATAAACAAGACATGCTTTTCCATTACAGCATAATTGGGAACAAGGCCGATTCTGTGCACTGTTGTTCAGGGTTTGGGAACGTGTGCTTTGGTACATCTGTCCTTGTGCTAACCTCTGACCAACAAAGCTAAACCTGTTTGCAGGGAGGGATGTTATTCATTGCCCTGTAAAGGCTGGTTTGTGTGTTTAAACAGTAGAGCACTGCTTGTTTTAACAAGAGAGAACAAATATGGCTTTTTTTACCTTTTACCAAGTGTTTTTGTAGTCTAGAACTTTGTAGACTAATTTATTATGTAAAATTATTAAGTTAAGCATGCATTTATATAGCAATGTAAATGGGAACATTGCATAGAACATTCTTTTGTTTTTATAAAAACTATGTATAAATGTAAACGATCACTAACAGGAACCATTTTTTCAATAAAAAATAATGATTTTTATTTATTATTATTTAGACTTTTATAAGTGTTTTTTTTTTTTACAAATGAAGACATCCCCAAAAGGAGGTTTTGTCAGTTTTTATTATTATTAGTAGTAGTAGTAGTAGCAGTAGTACTTCTAAAAATTAAAGATCTAGCTCTTGCCATTCTCTAAACATACTTACTTTTGTAAGGTGCATCCTGGGATGCTTTTTAAGTTCACATGTATGCTGCTAGGCACTGTCTGTTTATGAGAATTCTGTCAGTTTAACAGGTATTCAGATTTATTTTTAACTTTATCATTTATATATATTTTTTTGTTTTATAAAAGTAATTTTAATTTACTTTATAATTATAATTAATTTTATGAATTAATTATTTACTTATTGTTAATTTATTGCATATTATTTGTCTCTTTTTTTTCCAAATTTCTGTATTATGTCTTAAATGGATTTATGGACTTTTTTTTTTTTTTAAAGGCTTATCCTTGGGAAAATTTCTATCAAATATCAAACTGAAAAATCTTATGTAAACATTATTTTTTATGTTGAAAACATTGTTATTGTATATCATTATTTAAGTTTCTTACGACTATTTAAATTTCTGCTAGTTTCAAACAGGAAAGTCAAAGTTGTCACACCACGGCTCCAAAAGTAGAAAAATAATTACTTATGTTCTCACCACAGGTGACGTTTCGAGCCTAAAAGCTCTTCATTCAGACAATTTCTGCTACTTTGCCATGAAAATAGCCTTTGCTGCTAATTTGGTGTTAAATAATAAATAAATGCATTGTGTCTTGTTTTAAAAGGTAAAGACTGAGATGACCGCTGACCTAAATGATCTTCATGAAAAACAGACGAGGAGCACCTTAGAACGGCATCAGAGCGCAACAGAAGGTGTGACAAATGTGAAGTAACTTTGCTAAACACATCTACCAAGAGCATAAATGATAAATGTGACCCTGGACCACAAAACAAGTCTTAAGTCGCTGGGGTATATTTTTAGCAATAGCCAAAAAAAGCATTAATTATCAAAATTAGTCAAAATTATCGATGCCAAAAATCATTAGGATATTAAGTAAAGTTCCAATGTTCCATGAAGATATTTTGTAAATTTCCTACTGTAAATATATCAAAACTTAATTTTTGATTAGTAATATGCATGGCTAAGAACTTCATTTGGACAACTTTAAAGGCGATTTTCTCTATTTAGATTTGATTTTTTTTTTGCACCCTCAGATTCCAGAATTTCAAATAGTTTTATCTCGACCAAATATTGTCCTATCCTAACAAACCATACATCAATGGAGAGCTTATTTATTCAGCTTTCAGATTATGTATACATCTCAATTTTGAAAAATTGACACTTAAGACTTGTTTTGTGGTCCAGGGTCACAAATGTACATATAAATGTGTGTGTGTGTGTGTGTGTGTGTGTGTGTAATATTCAATAATTGTTTACTTTGCAGAGCTACAGCGATTACACAATGAAGAGAAGAACATTTTAAATGAGTCGCATGCAGCATCTGAGAATGCTTTGAAGGTAAAGCACGTCTATTTGCAACATCACTGCTCTGATTTGCCTTCATATATTTGATTAAGAGCTGATCTAATATACAGTGGAGATCAAAATTAGAGAACAACCTACATATTCAATAATTGTTTACTTTGCAGAGCTACAGCGATTACACAATGAAGAGAAGAACATTTTAAATGAGTCGCATGCAGCATCTGAGAATGCTTTGAAGGTAAAGCACGTCTATTTGCAACATCACTGCTCTGATTTGCCTTCATATATTTGATTAAGAGCTGATCTAATATACAGTGGAGATCAAAATTAGAGAACAACCTACAATTTCCGAAATTTCAAGGTCACTGCTTAGTCCTGTTTGAAGTTCCTAACAGGAGTAGAAGCGCAGGTTTTTTTTTTTTTTTTTAAGCGTACTTCATAAATTTATAAATGTAAAACTTAAATGAGATATTTGAAAAACAACTCTGATCAAAATTAGAGAACAATTACAGATTCCTATTACAGTTATTGGCACCTGGTGCTAATTTCATTAATTATATATGACAAACCCTATTTAACTGGCGGCATTCGTCTAATTTTCACTGAGACTGCAAGATGATGGGCCGCTCTAAGGTGACCGCAGATGCTGAAGTCACTCAAAGCGACTGCTGTAACCCTCCTAAAATGCAGTAATCCTCTTTCGTGCTACAGTGGTTACTGTTCTCTAATTTTGATCACTGTGTTTTCCACAAAATAAAGGTTTTTGTTGAAATGCCTTGTTAATAGAACAGTGGTATACTCCCAGCTGATATTCCTTCGAATATTGAGCAATGAAGATTAACAATACTTCAGAAAAATCAAGTGTTTATAGATTGTTCTCTAATTTTGATCTCCACTGTACTTCCCACGTCAAGCTAGACATGCCAGACTTGAAAGTGAAGTGATTGGTCTGAACTTTCTATGAACTCAGGATCAGATTGAAGGGCTGACGTCAGAGCTGAAGCTGTTCAACGAGTTAAAGTGCAGAGCGGAGGGGTCCACGCTCAAGAGAGACCTTCAGAGAAATATTGAGGTTTGTTATGATGAGAGTGGAGATCCGTTGGCAAAGCGTGCTGCAGTATTCAGCTGTATCTGTCTTTTCATCCCAGACTCATGGCAGCCCTGGTGCATTCTGGGAGCAGGAGCAGGAGAGTCTGTTATTTGTCATCGAAATGAAGCGTGACCGTTTACAGGACCAGGGGAACAAGCTGCTGCAGATGGAAACACTGGTATAAACTTGTATTGGTGTTTATTGTGGGCCATTAACTACAGATCTTCAGATTAGCAGTCAATCAATATGTATTTTTCAGAGGCAGATTCTTACGTTTTTAACTTTTTACACTGTCCCTCCAATCTAAAAAAAAATGGTTACATCCACTTTGTTAAACATGTCATCTGCTTTATTCTCCGTCACTGAGAAATTATGTACAGAAATGAGAGCAGGTGCATTATTTGTGTATTCATGTTGTTTATCTGAATGTGGCAAATTGACCTATTTGTTTGCATAAATAATGTACAATAATGCAAAAATGCACAAGTCACCAACTGAGGCCAAAACCATTTTTTCCCTATATATCAGCTATTTTGATAACTTTCTGCTTCTTGCTGTGTTGTGATTGTCAGGTGGAGAAGAATCTGTCGCTGGAGGATCAGCTCCTGCAGGCTCTCCAGCAGAGCGAGGACTACAGTGTGCGGATAGACAACTACCAAAGCCTCATACAGTATGTTTACGTCAATCTACAGATTATTCTTATAGGATGATTATTCTTATTTAAGTATTTTCAAATACTGAGACAAAGTTCAGATTAGCAGTCAATCAATATGTATTTTTCAGAGGCAGATTCTTACGTTTTTAACTTTTTACACTGTCCCTCCAATCTAAAAAAAATGGTTACATCCACTTTGTTAAACATGTCATCTGCTTTATTCTCCGTCACTGAGAAATGATGTACAGAAATGAGAGCAGGTGCATTATTTGTGTATTCATGTTGTTTATCTGAATGTGGCAAATTGACCTATTTGTTTGCATAAATAATGTACAATAATGCAAAAATGCACAAGTCACCAACTGAGGCCAAAACCATTTTTTCCCTATATATCAGCTATTTTGATAACTTTCTGCTTCTTGCTGTGTTGTGATTGTCAGGTGGAGAAGAATCTGTCGCTGGAGGATCAGCTCCTGCAGGCTCTCCAGCAGAGCGAGGACTACAGTGTGCGGATAGACAACTACCAAAGCCTCATACAGTATGTTTACGTCAATCTACAGATTATTCTTATAGGATGATTATTCTTATTTAAGTATTTTCAAATACTGAGACAAAGTATTGACAGAAGAAAAGAAACATGAATTATCTAGATTTACTGTGAATGTGTCATCTTTCTCCTCTCCCGGCTTAATATGCATTTTTAGGGGTTGATCGTGTCAAAAAGTGTGAACACTGTGACTGCTACTGTAGTGCTATCTAAGCATTGCTCTGCTCGTTTGTGCAGCCTAATAATGTCAGGGGCAGGACTATTTATTTGTTTACGCCAAAGGCAGGAATTATTTGGTAATGTTTTGTTTGGTAATGCAAGTAGCACATGCAGAACACATCTCAGAAAGTTTATTTTTTATTTCATTTAGTTTTTTTGTTTTGTGTTGTTTAACCCTGCAAACCTGACATGTGACATAATAGTCAGATATATTAATTTTTTTTATTAAATGGAACAGTTTATTGACCCTTTAGATAAAATATTTTTTAGAAAGAATATTTTTGTGTTTTTTTTATCATATTTGATACATCAGGCTTTTATGGCTCATATAGTATGATATAGTCAAGTCACCTTTATTTATATATCATTTTGTTTGAAGAGACGTTTCTTGTCAGGATTGTTTTGGTTGCATTTTGAAATAGCTGTGGATCTATGCAGTAGTTACTCATGTTAAAAGTCTTTATTATTCTACAAGGTGTAGTAGCAGTTTTTGCCAATTTTTGATATTGGTTTTATTATTGCTTTTATTTCTTTCCAGGAAACCGCAGGTATTGTTAGCAAAAAACTGTTATGTTTTTGCCTAAAGACATTATTGGAGCCAGAGCACTTGAACGTGTAGCATGAATATTTGGGATCTTTTCAGATGCACGCGCACTTTTATCAGTGTTTTATTTGTTGGAGAGATAATGGGCTTTTGGTGATTACCAATATGCTTTCTTCCTACACTTTGCACATAGTATTTCCATTTTGAATCCTTCTGCTTTTCAGTGGTAGGTTAAGTCCTGGGGTCCTATTGGATAAAATCTAGCCTTTTTAGCTCAAACACAGTGTTGGCTCAAAGAACCAGCACACATGTGCTTCAAGAAGAGACTAGCCTCTAGCCCCTTCTGTTTTGTTACTTTGGCGAACCTAACTTTAAAAGAATATTCTGAACAGAGCTCCTTAAAGTTATTTAATACTTTAAAGGAATAGTTCACCCAAAAATTAAAATGAGCTGAAAATGTACTCGCCCTCAGGCCATCCAAGATGTAGGGTAAGAGAAATGTAACATTCCATCACTTGCTCAGCAATGGATCCTCTGCAGTGAATGGGTGCCGTCAGAATGAGAGTCCAAACAGCTGTTAAAAACATCACAATAATCCACACCACTCCAGTCCATCAGTTAACATCTTGTGAAGTGACAAACAAAAATCCATCATTAAGGCATTTTAACTGTAGTTTGCCTGTTTTAAAAATGTTTCTTGCAAATATGCAGCTAAGACATTAACTGGAGTGCTGTGGATTATTGTGATGTTTTTATCAGCTGTTTGGACTCTCATTCTGGCGGCACCCATTCACTGCAGAGCATCCATTGGTGAACAAGTGATGCAATGCTAAATTACTCCAAATATGTTCCCATGACAAAATCTACATCTACATCTTGGATGGCCCGAGTACATTTTCAGCAAATTTTCATTTTCGGGTGAAATATTCTTTCCGCAGTACTTCAGATGGTCTTCTAATTGCAGTGATTCGACTTGCCATTTTTAAAAGCATGAGTGGTACATTGGTTGCCTTTGTGCCCATATCTTGTTTTTTTTTGTTGTTTTTTTAAATCTCCCACTTTTTTAAGCTATTGTGAATTATTGTAAATGTTCTGCCCTTATGTTTACTTCTGAATCAATGCCTTTGGTGCAAGATGTTTCCTGAAAAAACCAAGCAATAAAAGATGCATCAGAGGGACTGTATGTGAAGTTCTGCACAGTTATTCCAGAACAAAATATTTCAACCAAAGAACTGCTTTGGGAAAATCCCATACATATTACTATAGAAATGACAACATAGTTATTCAGCAGGGTAAAGTTTGGTTAGAGTGGGGGTCATGAGAGAAAGGAGATGACTAATTTTTCCATTTTACAATCTTGTTTTTTTCTGAATCAATAACAGGTTTGATCAAATTAGGGCATAAAAGATTTATGAAATGAATGGAATTAAACATCCCAATGCTTGTCGAAGGCTTAGATTTTGTCCCTAGGGGGCGCAAGGAGTCCAGATTTAAACAGGCGTGAGAATTTAGTGTTGTTGCTCTGACTAGTTTTTTGGTTGTCTGGGTGTTTCACCTTGGCCTGTCAATTTGTTTTGAATAACATCTACATACAAGTCATTCTTCAGTCAGCAATTCTTTGAGAATATTGGTTTAATATTATGTTGGTGTGCCTGATGTTGGAATAATCTGGTCCAGATAGCCTTTTAATCTTAATAGCTAAATTAATATATTAAAGTATTGTGCGTGTGTGTGTGTGTATATATATTTATTACCCTTTGCTTTTTGGCCCCCAACTGACTTTGCCCCTCATGTCTAAGGTCACTCACACCACAACTTTCACTGTTGCATGTAATGAGACACTGATTGGTGGGTGTTGCTCATGACAAATAAGAGCATAAAGCCCGGCTGATTGACAGATTGAGCTGTTTGCCCCGTGGTGCCCCTCTATTAGACTACACAGCACTTAACGTGGAGAAGAGCCCGGCTCTTTTTGCTGGTTGAGCGGATGTTAGGTTCACCGCTTCCCTGACTGTTTGACATGTTTGGACAATCCCTGCCTAGCCACTAAGATAAGCACAGGTCAGCCCCCTGTAGTGATGTCAGGAGGTTCCCAGAGCATTTAGCAGCCACCTGGAGAACCTCAAGTGTTTTCATTCCAGCCCAAGTGAACACTAGCAGATCTCAATGTCCGGATTAAGTCGTGGTGTCAATAAAACAACTTTTTCATTCAATCATTGCACAGCAACATTACTTGGGTAGCCTATTTGTTTTAATAATGCTAAGTTGGTGAATGTGCGTTTTAGTCAGGACATCAAGTAGGCTAGTGACTGACTACTTTATTAAATACAGCATATGTGTCAGAAATAATGCATTTCAAACGAGGTTTGAGGTTGTAAGTATGCAGCTTTGTGTTTCTTCGCGAAAGCTCAAAGATGGCGTCTATGCTGATGAGGCTCCACGCTAACGAAAAGCAACACGATTATGAAATGTTATTACCAGTGTTGGGGAGCGTTACTTTTAAAAGTAATGCGTTACAATATTGCGTTACTCCATTAAAAAGTAACTAATTGCGTTACTGCGTTACTTTTTATGGAAAGTAATGCGTTGCGTTACTTTTGCGTTACTTTTTAAATCTGGACAGGGCTTGCTTGTTTGTTTTTAAAATAAAAAAAGTTATATTTTTGGCAAATATAAAAGCCTTTCACACCAAAAGTGAAATGAATGTGTGTGTGTGTATATATATTTATTACCCTTTGCTTTTTGGCCCCCAACTGACTTTGCCCCTCATGTCTAAGGTCACTCACACCACAACTTTCACTGTTGCATGTAATGAGACACTGATTGGTGGGTGTTGCTCATGACAAATAAGAGCATAAAGCCCGGCTGATTGACAGATTGAGCTGTTTGCCCCGTGGTGCCCCTCTATTAGACTACACAGCACTTAACGTGGAGAAGAGCCCGGCTCTTTTTGCTGGTTGAGCGGATGTTAGGTTCACCGCTTCCCTGACTGTTTGACATGTTTGGACAATACCTGCCTAGCCACTAAGATAAGCACAGGTCAGCCCCCTGTAGTGATGTCAGGAGGTTCCCAGAGCATTTACCAGCCACCTGGAGAACCTCAAGTGATTTCATTCCAGCCCAAGTGAACACTAGCAGATCTCAAGACTGCATGTCCGGATTAAGTACTGGTGTCAACAAAACAATTTGTTCATTCAGTCATTGTACAAAAAGCAACACTAGTAAGCATTTTATGTATTTATATTTATCATATATATTTTGCATATATTTATATAGCATATATATATATATATATATATATATACACACACACACATAGGTTACTGATTATACTTTAAATACAAAGATAGCCTATTTGTCCAAAATAGAGCAATTTTTAATGCAAACGAGGTTGCGAGAAATAAATAAATAAACGTATCTAAATAAATGTCTATTTATTATTATTATTATTCCAGCATAAGTATGCGTGTTTGAGTCTCTTCGCGAAAAATCAAATATGGCTTCCTGACCAGGGCCCATACTTGCGAAAAGCAAAATGCTTTTATGAAATGTATTATTACTCATGTCAAGACTTTTTATTTTATATCGGTTTTATTATTATTTTAATTCATTTATTTCCAGGAAACAGTAGCTTAGTTAAGCAGGTATTGTTAGCATACACAAAAACAGATAATATCTTTGCCTAAAGACATTATTGGAGCTAGAACACTTGGACGTGTAGCATGAATATTTGGGATCTTTTCAGATGCACGCGCAC